GCATAATTTAATTATCCAATCTGGTGTATTTATTTTCCTTAAAGAATTTTCTATATCTCCTATTGTTATGCTAAAATACATATTTAAAACATCAAGTGATATCCATTTCATATTTTCATTAATTGTTATATTTTTTAATTTATTTAATAAGTCATCTACATTTTTTATACTATATTGAGAAACTTCTAATAAATTTAATTTATCCTTTAAATATTTTTCTAGATTATAATATACGTAATTTTTAACATCTATTAAAGGTCTATATTTAGTAGGATTTTTATGTGTTTTTACTCTTATATTAAATTTTGGAGTTCTGTTATCTTCTCTTTTTATGTAGTTAATGTTTTCTTCTGTTACTTGTTGTATTTTTAAGTTTTTAATTCTTTGTCTAATGTTTTCATTAGATCATTTACTGGATCTTTGTTGAGCTGTTTATAACTTCCTTCTTGAATTAATTCTTTAATAACTTTCTTTTTCTTTTATTTTTCCATAATTATTATTTGTTTGGTTTTATCCTCTTCAAGTATTTCTAAATTATTTTGTGTTAAAAACAATTTAACATTATTTAAATTTCTCTTAAAGTTTTTAATCTTATTTTTAATCGTATTTGAATACATTGTTAATACATGTTTATACATTTGAATACGTGTTTATAATCGTATTTGAATACATAGAAAGTACTAGTATACAAAATAAATTATAAATAGATTAAAAAAGGACAAAAAGGCATAATAATTAATCTTCTAATTTCTGTTTTTTTACGGGTGATCGAGTGAACATTGTATATACGGTTCGAAGCAATTTTTCAATGTCCTGTATTATTGAGACCTTTCGACATACATCATCTATTCCTAGATCTTCTCTATGTGCCACACAATGCTGCTCAGTTAAATGTTTTATATCCCGTCGAAGAATTGCAGCTGCACCATTTTTTTCCCCAAGCATAACACTTGTCCCATCTGACGTAAACATCACCATTTTTTGCATATCAATAGTATTCTTAACATAAAATTTTTTATTTCTTCAGCTATAGCCACCCACACTGTCACATGATCTTAATTTTAGAATACCTCCAAACACTGTTTTATACAATGTTTCATTTTCTGATCTAAATTTAAAGTATAATATTAACATTTTTTGAACAGAAATGTCTGTACTTTCATCAACTATTAATGTATGAAAAGTAGCTTTTTTCAATGTGTCCATAATCTCATTTTTAAGCACAAAACTGATGCACTCAACGAATTCAAATGCATAATTTTTGCTGCGCCATGATTCTGGTATTTTTACATACTTTGCTACATGGTCATGAATTTCTTGAACAGAATTCATAGAAGCATCCATTTTAATTGCCAATAGCACATTATCAATTAGCACTTTTATCATTTCAGGATTAGACTTTAGTCTCTGATTAAACTCCTTTTTTGTTTTTCGATCTTCAACAGTTTCACTTAAAATACGTTCTATTCCAAATTTGTTTTGATTATTTAATGTGGTAACAGCATCTAAATGAATTTTCTGATTTAAATGTCTTTTTAGATACATAATACATACATACATAATTATTTTTATTAAGGTACTGATAAGTACATACCTTGGCCCCGGTTTTGGCATTACCAAGGAGAGAATACAATAATATATTATATAGAGGATGGATCTTTGCACTACCTCTTCCATTGTCCTATCTTCGCAAGAGAAAGGACTGAATTACAAATCGTCCTGCATGAGCAAGGCATCAACTGGCCCTGCAGGCCAACTGACATATGGACCACAAAAAATACTTATACTGCCTTCGAAAGGATCACCAAACAAATCAACTATATTAATAACAAACAAACTTTCCTTTAACTCCTCATACCATTCTTCTTATTATGTTCTGTGTCATTTTGGCTGTTCTTTTCAGTCACTTATTTTATCTCCATGTAACTCCATGTAACTCCATGGACTCCTACACGCGTCTCTACTATCATATACATGTGATACTGCCGTCCTAGATAACTCAAAATTATGTAATATTATTGTCCTTTTTAATATCAAATGATTATAATCTTTATATTATGATTGTTATATGTAGAGTTAGTATAATCAATAGCCATCTTAATGGCCCACATCTCGGCCTGAAAGATATTGCAGTCGCTTTGTAGACGAAATTTGCAGTGTTTAATTTCCATATTGTNCCAACTGACATATGGACCACAAAAAATACCTATACTGCCTTCGAAAGGATCACCAAACAAATCAACTATATTAATAACAAACAAACTTTCCTTTAACTCCTCATACCATTCTTCTTTTTATGTTCTGTGTCATTTTGGCTTTTCTTCTCAGTCACTTATTTTATCTCCATGTAACTCCATGGACTCCTACACGCGTCTCTGCTATCATATACATGTGATACTGTCGTCCTAGATAACTCAAAATTATGTAATATTAGTGTCCTTTTTGATATCAAATGATTGTATATAATATATTATTGTATTCTCTCCTTAACAATGCCAAAAGCGGGGCCAAGGTATGTACTTATTAGTACCTTAATAAATAATTATGTATGTATGTATTACAGGCTTACCGATTCATTTGCTCATACATACAGCTAGTCCTAATTTCGAAACATTTATGTTTTTTTAGTGTTTTTAAGCCTGTCATTTAGCATTTCTACCGATTTAGTGCTATTTCGGAAAACAACGCGAAAGAATTCGAGTTCAATTAGCAAGAACTTCATTTAATAGGAAGGTAATTTGTTGGTAGATTGTATATACATTTTGAGTGTAATTAGACGAAACTAAATAGATGTGAATATACAAATTATTCGTAGAATATGACTAGACTAATATGAAAAACGCATTGCGTATTAATCGATCAGTGCATATTTGAATAATTCATACTTTAAATATTTCGATTCGATTAGTATGGCCTACAGTTTACACCGAACATACTTTTTATTTACTTTGCAACTGTAAATGCAAGTATATTTAAACCTCCGGATTGAAGTAATGTTATATCATTCGAATAGTAATGGCGCATAAAATATTTACGGGATTAATTGAAGTTATGGAATTTTGTTTAGGAAACTGACTAATGCAAGCCTATCGTCAGTTATGTAATGAACCTGAATTTATTGAAATTACTTGACTCTGTTTCGCACTAGTTTTCCGTAATGTCAATGCATAGGTACTTTCGACTTTGTAAATTGTATTAAACTGGAAACTAAACTGTTATGTTATTCTGCTACCTATTTACGTATTTTTAATGTTTCCGAACTAAATAGTATTTATTAAATTGAACTTCTTACTCTACAAAAGTACTACGAATGTTAGAGAAGACCGTTTTACTATAAATTACTAGGTATTGATACGTTTTACGCTAATGTTGATTTTCGAAGATAGTCGGTCAGACAAGGACCGTTAGACTAATGACGTGTATCGTCGGCATTTCCGGGTTGCATCGAAGCCGCAATTGTTTCCGGCCGAACAGCCGAACCAATTCAGCGCCATTGTCACTGTATGTCGGTTTCTGCAAACGTACTTACGTCGTTGCATCAGATCGAGCTCCTGTGTAACCGGCGGAGCGCAACTTTATGCAAATTGCTGTTCCTTCGCAGACATCAATCTTCGATACGTACATACGCGTTATCTATTAAAATGTCCGTTTACATCGGGCATAACAATCATTTTTCTTTATTATTTTCGCCTGTACTTGGAAAAAAATTTTTTTTTCCCCTTTTCAATTATTTTATATTTTACGGTTGTCATGTAGCGCGCGCGTTTCCATATTCCATCATGGCGTCGAGCGAGGTATGTAGCTATTCCGTTGTTCTGGCATATCCAGTTCATTTGCAAATGTATCTTTGTAGAACCGATTATGTGTTCGTTCACATTTTCGTCGTTACTATTATAGCTAATCGGTTTTTATTCACGTCATACAGGATGATAGCCGGGAATCGCGATTCCACAGATTGTACGCGTATCTGGACCGTGCCGGAGTGTGGGCTGCGTTGCAGACAGGTATGTTCACTATTTACGACGCAGTTATTTCGTTGCATGGTCACCTGTTCAGCTTCCCCGAACGGACGTTCAGGCAGTGTGGTACACGCAACTCGTATGTCTCTTTTTTTTTGTGTGTTGGTCGGTACGGTATATGTACGCACGCGACGCACGTAGCCTTATGTCAGGTGTTTCGAACGATATATTTCTTACATTCGTTTTACGATCGGCCATCTTTAGATTTGTTCCTATTAGGGGTTTTCCTGTTGTTTCGGTTTTTTTATATCTGTTTTCCTTTGCAGCCTTGCGTCATCTGATGTTCGCGAGGGAGTGGCCAGTCGACCCCCTAACGTAAGTAGCAGTTGTTTTACAGTTTTCGTTTCATTTCGTATTTTTTATTTTTATTTTTTTCTTTCCTTCACCCATCCCTCCTCTCTAATTTAAATTTTTCTTTTCTCGCCCCATCCCTCTTCTGTTTTGTAAACAATTGAAATGCTTACGTTGTGGTTTCCTATCGTCGCAGGTTCGTTGTACGATGTTTCAGCGCCTACGAGCGCGAGTATGTCGAGGTGCTGTGCGATCAGTTGCGTGAGGCGTGCCAGACGATCGCCGAACTGCAGACTCGGGTAGGTACTACTATGGATGAGTTTCGAACCGATTCATGTCGGTACAGATAATTTGTTGACTTTTTATTCGATTTTCGTTTATCGTTTTTGCGATTGTGTCCACTGTCTTTCATCTCTGCACCTTTTGTGTCGTTCCAACAGTTACGGACATACGAGGCAAACGTCCCGAAAAATGTACAGTCGCGGACGGACGAGCGTAGTCAAGTAGAAACGATAGTCTTAGATGACGACAACGAAGAAGAAACAGCAGTGGTGGAAGAAGAAGAGGTAGAAACAGAAGAAGTAGAAGAAGACGAAGATGAAGAGGAACAAGAAGAGGACGAAGAACTTTAAGCCGAAGTAAAACGTGAAGCATAAGAGGATGAAGCAGAAGAAGAAGACTGGAAGGGGGTTGTTCGTTTCACATTTGTGTTCGAAATTCAGTTAATTTCTTTTGTTTTTTTTTTTATTTTTTCTTTGTTTGTGTAGGGCTAAGCTAGGCCACAAAAGTTTACATTATTTCTTATATTTGTTTCTTTAAAAAAATTTTTTTTTTCCTTTTTCCTGTGTATGTTTTCCGAATAAAACTTGTTTTTCTTTCGCCCGTGTGTGAGTTTTTTTCTTTTTAGAATTTCTTATTTTATCTATGTCATTTCGGTCGTTACCGTGTCCGAACGACGGTGCGTACGCAAGTATCGCGGCCGTGTTCCTCTCTACATATCCACGTCGCGAGGACGATATCGAACAATCCCTTATTCCGTCTGCATGTCGAATACAGACATCATTATGTTTTTTTCGATCGAAACGAGTCGATTTTCTTAATTTAGTTTCGGCCGATACGATTTGTTAACGAGTTGAAATCTATTACTAGGAATACACGTATATGTATGCATGTACATATTAAGCCGATATTACTAATACTAATAATATGAATGAAATTAACAGTTGACAATTGCTTCGAAACATCCGTTCCGCAAGACCCACTTATAACCTATAACCCCTAACCTATGAACATCTAGGGGACCACCTATAACCCCTAACCTATGAACATCCAATCACGTGATGGAAATTCCCCTCAAAAACCTATAAAAGGCCGTTCCTACCCCCCTCAGGGGAGTCACTTCAGATAAGTCAAACGGGTGACATCGACCCTGATCCTCCGAACTGGGAAATTTTCCATTCTCCGAAGATCTATCCCCGATCAGCACTCCAGTCGCGAATATATATATAATTGGTGCCTAAAGTGGATAAAAAGGACTGTTTCCGTGGACTAATAATTCAGGCCCTCCCAAGTGTTAATAGTCGTCAGGGAACTCTCTCTCTAGAGGTATGACAAGTCCGGTGAACTCTCTCTCGCTCGGCTTATAATGGCTCATTTTCCGTTTTTTCACGTCAATAAACTGCACGGCCTTTGTCAAATTGTCGTCGCGTTGACTTGCTCCTTTAGAGCGGCGTGTTTATCGAGTGAATCAATAATCTAGTTATTTGTATCATGTGTAGTAGATTGTTAGTTTCAGTATAATAAATTGTTATTTTATCTGTTAAAAATATGATAGACTCCTTTACTCAATCTCGCCCTTCACCTTATCGTCGACCCCAAGCAACTCTCCTTTCACTCGCCTGACGTATTATCCTGACAAGTGAACGGGAGCTTACACCCCCGTATTCACAATTGCATGATACATGCATTAATACTAGGGATGCCGAAGGGTTAGCATCAGCCTGAAATACCTAATTAAAAAATTGGAGAGCTCAGTTTATGCCTTGATTTTTGTTTTTTCATATCATGCCTTTTTTCGTATTTCATGTATGATATTATTATATAATATGTTGTTATTTAATTTTATTTATCCTTTACATGTATTTTTATATGTGTATATGCTTATTTTCTTCGTTATTTTATTCGTATTTAAATTTTGTTCCATTTGTTTATATTGGAATTTATTTAACCTGATAATGGCCTGATGTTTGTTGCATTTTTATTAAATTTCTCAGCAACATAAGGTGTTGTGTTTTAGTTTATATTTTGCTGAGTTAGTTGACTTGATTGTCAGAAGAATGAGGTTTTGAATATCGTTTTCATTATTTTTTCAAGCTGAAAAGAACAACTATATTTTTATATTTTTTTAACTTTTATAACAAATTTTGAAAGATTGTTAAAATATTTAAATAAAGGACAATATTTGAATTTTCTGATCATATGAAAAAGGTAATGTTTCTGTAAAAATATTGACTTATATTATTAAAGCATTAACTATAATGTTACAAAGTAAAAGACATTGATTATAAATGATATGTCTTTGTCTATTGGACGTTAGAAAAATGAAAGCAGATTGGTCCTTATCAGAGGTAGGCTTAATAACAATGAACAAAATACTTGCAACATAGTTATTGGAGCATTAAAGTCTGCTCTCTTCAAACACTGCTGTCGATTCTACAAATTCAGGTTAGTCTAGTAACCAGTCTAAGTAACTTCTGTTCTCTAAAGTGATTACTCATTTATCATACTTTTTTTTTATTACAATTTTTGTGATAACTCAGGATGTATTTTCTTCATAATTTGAAGTTTAGACTATTTACAAAAAGTCAAAAATAACTTTTGAGTCTATCTTTATCCCTTATACACTACCACAGAAGTAACAGTCTTAAAAAAAAATGCTTTGACAAACTCTTCTTAAACACAAGTAAAAATTGGTAAAAAATCTCACAAGGTTAAAAAAGATCAAGTGTCAGCCTTTCATTGTAGGTTTCTGACACTTTTACAATTAAAAACACAAAGAAATTCTTCACACTATCATTTTTATCCACCTTTTTAAACTGCTTCTAGCCCTCTAGTGGTAGTTACAAGTATCTAACATTATTTGCAATATAGTTACAATTTTTGTGATAACTAGAGGGCTAGAAGCAATTTAAAAAGGTGGATAAAAATGATAGTGTGAAGAATTTCTTTGTGTTTTTAATTGTAAAAGTGTCAAATACCTACAATAATAGGCTGACACTTGATCTTTTTTAACCTTGTGAGATTTTTTACCAATTTTTACCTGTATTTAAGAAGAGTTCTTCAAAGCATTTTTTTTTTTAAGACTTTAACTTCTGTGGTAGTGTATAAGGGATAACAGTCGATCGATCGCGCATGGGCGGAAGCAGATCACTTGATAAGCCAGGACGTCCTACCTGTTATCAAAGGCGTTTAGAGTGGACTGGTCCGATTTGCGCCGTAATAGGGGCGAGGAAATCGAGCCAAAGGGACTTCTGTGTGCAGTCAGGCGTGATACGGGTTGACATTACTAGTCGCTCATCACTGCTTGCTTAGCGTTCGCCGTTTTTATTTTAAAATCGTAAAATCGCGGCCCTGATTATCAGAAATTATGATTCTATCTGTTATTTTGATACTTTTCTTTCTTTATAATGTTTTATTTACTTTATTTTCCTGTAATTAGAGACGATACAGCTTTAAAATAAACAGATCAGCTTTCTCTTGCCAATAGATTATCTCAACTTTCACCGATTGGCGTCGGTTAATTTGTAATCGGATAGGAATTGTCCAGTGTTAAGTGTTTATTGCTTTTGTGGTAATACGAGTAGAGCGGGAGCGTCCCTTAATGAACTGCCAAGTGGTTTATTACCATTTAAACAACTTCTCCCCACTTGTTATTCTTAGTAACTAGACACGTCTGTCAAGGTCGGTTAAAGTTTATTACTTTCACAACAGGGTGTCAAGTGAGCCGCCACCCACACCCACCGTTAACGACAACAACGCGCGAAGTATCACGTTACTCTGTAAACGAAAACTCCCTTCCTTGTTGGAGGCGGGTCACATGTCAAGGTTACCGTTTAATTTTATTGAACGGAATGTTGTCCTTGATATTTAAGAATCAGTTTTGTCAGAACTGTTTATTTTTAATACATTTTTTATAATTTATTGCTGCTTCAGTTATAAAATTTTTTTTATTGTGTTCTAAATCGATTTTTTTTAAAATTATACTCGTATAAAGTTTATGAATTAATATTGCAATGAACAATTCGTTGTTCAAACAAATATTTATTCATTATACAGAGTTCAAGTTTGCAAAAAATGTTTTCATATCTCTTCGTCGTCATTATATATATATTAATAAAATATATTGACATTTTACAAACAGATCTTATTGTATTCATTTTATTACTTTGTATTTAATTCCACATTATATTCGAATCGACATTTTATATTTTGTAAGTATTCACGTATCACATTACATGTCATTCGTTTAATTCTGTACTACTTACGTTATAACGATTTATATAGCTTTTAATTTTTTTTACATGCTTTCATTTACGTTTTAAATATCATGTGATCTAATCTACGAACGGCAGCTTTCCACGCATCACATAGAATTTCTACGGGAAAGCCCTCATTGCAGGCGTAACAGTATTTATACAACGGTAAAGTGTCATTTACAGATTATGTGAATTCCAGGACTCTGCTAAATGCCACACAGTATGCTAATGAGTTGCATTAGCATACTGTGTGACGTTCAGTAGAATATATGACGTGAACACCTTCAGTAATTAAAAGGAGACATAGATAGTAAATAATGACACATTTTTCTCTATATTATTTATGTCTGTTACGCTGAAATCAAATACAATTGTGAGGGAAGCGATAGTATAAAGCCTTTGCTGAAGTGCTTGATTAATTGTTCCAATATGCCTAGAGCAATTTCTAAGGAAATACAAGAACTTGTCCTACGACATCGAAGGGATGACATGACCATCGCAGAGATAGCCGAGTGCCTCCACATATCGACACGGAGTGTATCGAGAGTAGTAAAACTGTATCAAGACACACAGTCGGTGTCGCCAGAACGCTCGTCTGGCCGACCGCGCCTAACAACTCTTGCTCAAGACGAGCGACTTAGGGCGGAAAGCCAGGCGAGTCCGTTTGCCACGGCATCAACTTTACGATCCCGTCTTGATCTGAACGTGTCCGCGGACACTGTTAAGCGGAGGTTAGTAATATTTGTAGTATAATATATTAACCTTCCAACGAAATATATTTCTATCGATAAGATGAACCGCCAGACATTTCTATTAACGTGCTCTTGCGTATACAGAAATGTAGGAAGCAGGATAATACATATTTTTATTTTATTCATAGGTTGCGCGAAGCAAATCTATTCAAAAGGAAAGCAGCTACCAAGCAAATGCTTACACGTGCAAATGAAATGGACCAACTTGGGTTCGCCTACCAACATCAACAATAAACAAGTGAAGACTGGCAACCAGTCATATTCACGGACGAAAAAGTATTTAGCTCATGCAGCAACGGGACCGTGTAAGTGCGTCGCCCACCATCAACAAGGCACGACCCTGCATACGTGTGGCGCACCAAAAGAAGCGGTCATTTTTCGCTAGGTGAGTGTTTTTAATTTGGTGTTTTCGTGTGT